AGGGGAGCATGTACTCGTGCATTGGGGCGCCTGTAGATCAGAGAGTGATATATAAATAAATAAAAGAATAAACAAATATAAAAAGATAAAAATAAATTTAAAAAATCAAGTAGAAATAAATAAATGAATGAAAATAATAAACAAACATAAATAAATAAAAATAAACTGGTATAGATAAATAAAAATAAACAAATAAAATAAATGAAAAAAAAATAAACAAACAAACAAATAAATCAATCAATCTATAAATCACCAGAGAGACGTAGATGTTTGGCGTGCTGTTCCAAAGCCCCACGCCCACACAGCAAAGTTTCCCCGGAGAAAGAGAACAAGAAACTGCTTCAGATTGGGACAGATTTGACCTAGTTTCTGTTTTTGCTGGCTTTTTTCTTCCAAAGTTGTAGTTTTTCTTGAGTGGGAGTGGTCACATGAACACAATGATGGTCATAGAAGTGCCACAGATTCCAGGAGGTACAACAGATCTACAGAGTCATAAACATAAAGAAAAAGGAGAGATCAGGACAGTAGATGTTTAGTTTAGTTTTAGTTAGTGTTTTACGGCACTTGCAACACAATTAGGTCATGTAAGTGCCGCAGATTTGAGAGGTAAAAAGAGAGTAACAAACAGACAAAGCAAGGAGAAGAGGTCAGGGCAGCAGATGTTTGACAGGAAAAGAGGAGCAGACCCCAGCAGAGCACCCGCCAACCCCCCACTCACCCTGGTAGAGGTCGACGCAGCGACTGGCCAGTTCCCAGATGACCAGACCCAGGGCGTAGATGTCGATCTGCTTAAGTGAGGCCTCACAGTCGCGCAGGTTGACCGCTCCGTCAAACACCTCGGGCGCCATGTAGCGCAGCGTGCCCACCTGACCACGGGAAACCTCTAGTTGTACTCACAGTTTTACAGCATGTGCAACACAATTAGGTCATAGAAGGGCCGGGGATTAGAGGCGTTACAAGACAGTAACAAACACAGAACAGAAGGAGGAGAGATCAGGACGACACATGTTTGTGATAGGACAGAAGGAGGAGAGATCAGGACGACACATGTTTGTGATAGGAAAGAAGGAGCAAATCACAGCACAGCACAGCACCCGCCAACCACCCACGACATTACACACAACAACTGCTAGGGTTTTCCCATGTCATTGATCACATTTTCATGTAAGTAATTTACTGTGTGAATAAGTTTAATGAACTGCCGTTATAGCACTGACCTGACACTGTATCCCCCTTTTCCTTGGCCACTTTTTGGGGACTACATTTTCAGAGTCATTGATCACATTTTATTGTTATTCATTTAATTTAATGTGCTTGTAACTTTAATAAATTCAGTTTTATTTTATTGATAAGATACTGTACACCTTCTTTTCCATCCAACAGTATTTTTCCAAAAAACGGAACACAGACACAAAAATCAAGAAACATTGCTCCATACACAGCGTAACCTCCCACACGTGTCCTGTCAGAACACACAGAGGGGGGGAGCAGCACGTATAGACTTACGTCTGCCACACACACACACACACACACACAGAG